CGACCTCATCAGAGTCTTCCTATAATCACCCTGCAGTTTTCAGCCAAGACTTAAATGAAATGCCTGCTAGGACAAGTGAAGTGAATCAAAGGGAAGAGAGCAAAGGGTTTTTTTTGTGGGGTGGGGGGTAGTAAGAGAAGACAGAAAGATTTATAAGACAGTGAAAAGTGAAGCTGGCGGAAGGAAAAAACGAAGACAACATATGTGCAAAAAGGAAAGAGGAAACATCCTTGATAACAGCAAATAGTGTTATCTATTCTTGCCCTTTTATTGTTCCTTTACTCTTTCCTTGGTGGGAATCACCTAAACTGAAAATTTAGGACTGGATATAAGCTGAAAGTAAAAGGTGAATGGTAAGTATTCTAGGTGAATCATTTTTTCTCCCTGATCAAAAAGTTAAAAAAAAAGAAAAAGGGAATGATTTGCAAAAACAATTGTGATTAAATTCAATAGATTTTAAAAAGAACTCGAAAGCAAGGAATTAAAGGGGAATGAAACTACAGAGAGATAATCTTTGTGTAGGGACGCATCAAGTAGAGAAAAAGATTTTCCTATCAGCCCTTCTGATTTGCTCCCAGCTGGATAATTCTGGGCACTGGCAGGCTATGGAGCAAATGGACAGATGCTCTCAGAAAAGATTATCTTTTATCTGTTGCTCAGGGAATAGCTCTGGTCCTATGACTGTTGATTCCATGATCTAAGCCTTATATGCCATTGCTATATGTGTCGGGCAAGAAAAAAAAAACCATAATAATAATAATAACTAACATTTATTGAGCACTGAGTAGGTATGAAGCTCTTCACATGCATAATCTTATTTAATCCTCACCAGAACCTTATGGTTGTTATTGTTATTCCCATTTTGCAGATAAGGAAATTGAGAAAATGAAAATTACTGGTTTGCATTCAGATGGATCTTTCTATCCTTTAGCCTCAGAAGCAGCAATCTGTTGCTTTCTTGCTTAAGTAGAAAGTCACACACTTCACAGGCTCCTCCCACAATCTATTACAAAGTCTTTACAAATTCAGATCCTAATCCAGACCTTCCACTTCAAAGGTCATCTCCCAGTGCCTTCCATAGCTGTTCACCCTGGGAGTGCTGAGTAAGAGCATCTAGCTGTCCCTGAAAGTAAAGTTTGCCTCAGTACCTAATCAGCACTAAAGTCCATAACAACACCCTTTACCCTAAATGAAAAAGGTCAGATCTTCCTCATTGCAAGGACGAATTTTGAGGGAACTAAGGGCAGGGGAGAAAGAGAGTTTGGAAGACTCGAAACGAGGGCAAAACCTTTGCACGCTGACCTCTCCATGTCCACTTTGAGTCTTAAAGACTTCCAATTTCTCCTTTACTGAAGACCTCAGCATAACTGCCTGCCATAAAGCCCCTGGCTATGCGACACAGAAGCAATCTACCAACCCAACAGGGCCAACCCAATGGGGCCAGTCTACCAACCTAATAATCCAACAAATGGACAGTTCCTTTCCTTCTCAAGGAATCCCTGTCCTGTGTAGTTCTGATTTTCCTTGGTGGTCAAAAGCACCAGAGAAAATCCATCTTTGCTATGAGCCCTGATGTTGGGACGTTACACTGTCTAGCTCCAACACCAACCTCTGTTCCCTCCACCAAATCACCAGACTTTGCCAAGAACATTTAGCTTATAAGATGGATTGTCACTTCAAAATTCTGCAGGACCGGGCTAGGTTCAGTCATTAAAACTTCTCATCTGCTTCTGTCCCTCAGCTCCATGCCTGCTTTGCCTTTCGGTTATAGATTTTCTGTTCAGCCTTTTGCAGTGTTAACTAAATTCCAAATATTTGTTCTACGAAAAAGGGGGACCAAAAATCACGATTAAAAGTACAACAGAGTGGGCTTCCCTGGTGGCGCAGTGGTGGGGAGTCCGCCTGCCGACGCAGGGGACACGGGTTTGAGCCCTGGTCCGGGAGGATCCCACATGCCGCGGAGCGGCAGGGCCCGTGAGCCACAACTACTGAGCCTGCGCGTCTGGAGCCTGTGCTCTGCAGCAAGAGAGGCCTCGACAGTGAGAGGCCCGCGCACCGCGATGAAGAGTGGCCCCTGCTCGCCGCAACTAGAGAAAGCCCTCGCACAGAAACGAAGACCCAACACAGCCAAAAATAAATTAATTAATTTATTTATTAAAAAAAAACACAACAGAGTGCTGCTAGGGAAAAAAAGCACAGCTACAAATCAAGATTTGATGATGCAGCCTAAGCTGCAAACCTTAATATTGTAAAATATAGGACTTCGAGACTAACTAGATGAAAAATGTTTAATTGGGGGCCCATGGAGCTTAGGGAGGTCATGAGCTCCTTGAAACTATATGTAAAATATCTGTGTTTTTCTTTTTTCTCTTTCCTTTTCTTGTTATGTTTTGTCATGTTTTCTGGGAGTAGGTCCATAACTTCATTAGGTTATCAAAGGGAGAATAATTTATTTACATCTCTGATGCCTAAGGTAAGGCCTGATACATAGTAAGGACTCAATAAACATTCAACATTTGTTGAATAAATGAATGAACAGAAGGGGTCTAAGTTCTAAAGCACCTAATTTTATAGATGGAGAAGAGAAGTCTAGGAAGGATATAGTTGCTTTTTCAGGGTCATGAACCTAAGTAGTCAGGACCAGATAGAACTAGCTCTTTTAACACTTTTCACCATTTGTCAATCCCCTTGTTTTGCTTTTTAACCTAATTGTATCTTTCATTCCATTTTTCTTCCTCCCAATCTGTTTCTTTCTAAGCTGAGAAATGGATCCTATTTCCTAGTTAGAAGTTGCCAGTAAGTGCACATCTGGAAAGAGAAGTGGGGGAGCAAACAGCAGGGAGAGTCTATGAAAAAAAAAAGGCTCTCAGAATAATTAATTGGTGGTAGCACACCCAGCATGGCTACTCTTCCTATGTGCTGAAGACATGATTAATAATGGCATCAAAATGGCTGTCATTGATGGAAATATGTAAAGCTGAAATAGTGGAGTTAGATCTAGGGGTGGGCAGTAAATCTTCAGCTTAAAACTGACCAGGCCAAGCCACTGTCCTAAGAGCAGATGACTTGCAGCATTCTAAAAGATATCTGAGGGACAAGGATCAAATGAATCCCTGCTTGGTTTGAAAGCTCCTTTTGCGGACCTTCCTCGCTTGTAGAGTGATTAGGAGACCCTGGGAGAATTCCACTGGGCCTTACTACCCTCCTAACAGCTCACAGTCAAGCCCAGTAGGCAAGACAGATGAAACTCAAACTGCCATCCCTAGGAAAGAAATAAGGGAGAGAGGCTTAGGCCTCATGGCGCTGCTTCACGCTAGGAGAGAGTGTGGAAGAGACCAGTACTCAGATTCTGTGACACAGCAAATTTCTTGTGCTGGTGACTTCCTAAGCAGATCGAGGCCAACATGGAGGCACTGGGGTCTAGAACATGTCACAGGTGAGAGAGGAGAGCCATGCCTAACCGACTGATGCCCCCAGAATGCTAACTGCTAGCAGAAGAAACTTTAGGTAAACTCTTCTTTGAACCCTGGCCTCCTAAATGCAAGTCATTTGGGAAGGGAATCTGTTACAATTTGTGTTTATGGATTATCGGTATTACTTGGTAGTGCTAGGAATTATTTAGCGAGAAAGGAAGAACCGAGAGTGGACAATAAACAACCTGTGTTAGAGCCCCAGCTGTGTGACCTTGGTAAAATCACTTAACCTCTCTGAACCTGTTTCTTGATTTATAAAATAAAGGTATTGGTCTGTATAGCTATAGTTCTTTCCAGCTTTTGCCTGCTACATATTATATCTAAGTTTGAGGTTTAACTCATCGATACCTTTTTCAAATGTGATTAGAAAAGGTTACCTTTCAGGCAAGAAAATCCCACCCCCCGCATATTATTTTCTTAGATTTCTCTATAAGGCAATTGAAATATCAATTAAAGGGGGAGATGTTAACCTCTTGGAATGAACAACAGCCCTATTGCTCTAAGACAGATGCTGCAAACTTCAGGTCCTTATATTCGAAAGGGGAATTTAAAAGAAGTTGGGTTCAGCTAATGATTTGAAGACCTCACCCTCACTTTAAATTGTGGGATTACAGGGGATTCCAGTCAATTAACTTATTATTAAATTCCATTCTCAAAATGTAAACATTTCACAAAATCTATGTAGCAGTCATTTAATTAATACAGTTAATAGATCTGTTGTACAATGATCTGAAGGTCTTCCATGGAATGTGCTTCTGTTCTACCATGAGCCTCAAGTTTCCATCTAAGATTTCTGGCAGCTTCCTGCATTTTGCTCACATAACAGCCAAGGATAAGTCAGGTAGCTCGCTTTCTCCCTACTTCACAAATCTAACAGTGCTGGGGTTTCAAAATTCTCTGTCTAGCTTTGAACTGAATTCCCCAATAAGAATCACAGTATGACTCTCAAGCTCAGAAACGAATCTAAACAAAAACTCTGGAGCAAAGGAGTTTGCTGGTTAATAGGAAAAGTAAATGTACTCAGCGTTTAATGCCTTACCCCTCAAAAAAAAAATCAGTAACCTAAAACTCTTCCTGTCTTTCGTATGATGAACCCCAGTTAAGGAGACATAATTCAACGTTTTGGCTTCCTCAGAGAAACCAAGCTCAGCGGCAAATGACCCTTCAACTCGACACCTCTCCCGGGCCCCTGAGAGGTCTGACAGAGCCCAGGTCGTGGAGGCAGAGAGGCAACTGTGGGCCCCACTGAGGAGGCCTGCACCCCTCAGTACCGGGGGCTTGGGAGCTTCCAAACACCCAGGCTCAAGTCCTGCTAGGGGATAAGACAGGAAGGAGGCCTGCCTCGTGGTGTCCTGTGTCCCTCCTTATCGCCTGTATGATGGATGTTTGTCTTTGCCAAAGGCTAAGCCATCGAGGACCACCCCCAAGCACTGGATCTCTGGCTTCCCTGTGTCTCATCACCAAGTGGGGAGTGTACACGCACTGCCCAGGCCAAGGGGCCATGGACCAAGGTATCTTTGCACTCACCTGGGACTCCAGAGATCATCTGTCCAGACTCTTCAGCTCCTGTGGCCTCTGAGACCCCTTCCTTCAGTGGCCACCCCTCATGCAGACCTCCGGGTGTCAAGACAGGTTTGACCACCTGAAAGGGCCAAAGATGGGCAAAGTTACTTTGCTGGCTCTGAAGGAGAATGGGAGAGTCTGGGGGCTGGGACATTTTGCAGGAAATCACAGAGTAGGGAGGCTACAGGGAAGGGAAATGGCAGAAGAGGGGTGCCCTGGGCCAAGAGCTACAAGGCAGGGGAGCCGAAGCAAGAGGAGAGATTTTCAGAGATGCCTGCACAGCCCCCCAGTTCGAGAATTCCTGAGACAGAGAAGAGGGTCCTGGTCTGAGATTGCAGCAAGTGTGCCCAGTGCCTTTGACTCAATTCCTTCCTTTGCCTCCAGCCTAAGGTAGCTAAGGCAGGGATTCAAAGCAACCAAAGGTCTTGGAAAGAGGCTAGAAGGGGCGAAAGAGCCAGACAAGAGAAGGAAACCTGGCTCTAGCCACAGGTAGAGGCGAGGAAGAGGGGAAGCAGCGCAGGCGCAGAGCAGCCAAAAGTGAGCCTGAAGGTGACAGCATGCAGAACCCCCCACCCAGACCCAGCCACTAGGGGGCAGGTGGTAGGGAGGGGGCTCTGTGTGCCTTCACCCCTTCCTCAGCTCTAGAGACACCCCTGGTCTTGATTTTCTAACACAGTCAAAAGCTAAGTTAGTTGATGGGCTCAAGGGACCAAGTATCCCCAGTGACTCGGTGGACACTTCCCACTCCCCACGGAGAAGCACACTGGGGTAAGGAAGGGTCTCGAGCTGCTACCTCCCTCCCTAATTTAGGGGCTCTAGTGTTTGCATCAGACGCAAGTGCCTGGAAGTTTCCATCAGGCCCCTGGCTTGCTGAGTGATGTGGCATTTTTCAAAAGGTGTGTGCGTTAGCAGTTTGAGGGTTCAAAGAAATTCCCCCCGCCTTTGCCCTCCTTCCTCAGCAAAGGGAAAGTGGGGAGAAAGGGGGAGACCAACTCCCACTGGCCTCAGGCTGACGCAACTGCCCTGAGGGAAGGAAAGATGCACAAAAAGCCACCAATTTTCACTGATGGTGAAGGAAAAGGGGAGGGGGGCTTTCCTCTGATCCCACCCGGAATAAGACACCCCTCTGAGCAAGCCCCCCGGCCAGGATCAGAAGTGAGCGCCCCCTGCCCCGGCGTGCGGTCGCCCCAGCAGCTGTGCTGCAGCAGCAGTAGCTTCAAAGCAGCAACAGTTGTCTGGCTGAGGCGAGGCGAGGCGAGGCGAGGCAAGGCGAGGCGAGGCGAGGACTCGCTCGGGCGCGCACGACGCCGGCTTCGGCCGGGTACTCCTGGGCTCTGGAGCCCCAGCCCCACACCTAACCTCGTGGGAGGAGTGAGGGGACCAGGGGCGCAGTAACCTCGAGCCGCCTGCACTCAGGATGCTCAACCATTTCGTGCAAGTTCACTTCGCTTAGGTCACCTCTCTCCAAAATCTGGTGGAGGTTCCGGCTTTTGGAGAGAGGAGGGCTCTCTGGCCGGGGAGAGAAGGGGGATGTAAGAAGCAAAAAACAAAAGAGGAGCTGAAGGGATACGGGGTGAAGCTATTTTTAATCTAGCCTGGCTCTTAACGCCTCTCCCTCCGCGAAGCTATCGCTCCACAGACGGCCCCAGGTGAGAGGCAGGGAGGAAACCCCCCAAGAGCTTTTGCTTTGGTTCCATCTCCTTTGCAGATCTTAGGGACCCTTTTACTCTTTCAGAAAACGCAACTGGGGAGGGAAAATCTCCTTTATCTGGGGAGAGGGTCTCTGATTTATCCCTGGAGCTTGGAGTCCTCGCCTTCGGAGCCTTCTCGCAGGCTGAACTACAAAAGATTGACTCGGTCCAGCACTCTCGGACTTCGGAGCCCTTTTCCTTATTCGGGAGAGGGTAGAATCTGGGTGCTCAGCTAACGGAGAGGGGAACGAGGGCGGGCACTTAGTTTGCTGGAAGAACGGTGGTTGGGGTGCGGGGGGAATTCAGGCCCTCCCCGAAAATGCGAAGCTTCGCAGCCCTCGGGTCTTGGACTCTTATATCCCTAGACTCATCCTCTATCCGTGTCCATCCCTGTGGGCACCCGTGTGTTTGTGTGTCCTTCTGGTCCAGCCCCTAAGGGCGTCTAGCAATGTTTCTAGCTGACGAAGGGCACGGGGGCACAGAGCATGGTGAAGGCCTGATTTGTGCCACTTGTAACAGAAATGGTCACGACTGCAAAGAGTGGAAGGGGAGGAGAGGAGCGGGACCCACAGACGATCCCCAATCCTGCAGCTCTGCTTCCCTCCCCAGGACGGGGCACCTAGAGAGGCCAGGACTGGGCTGCTGCAGCTACTGCTAAGTTTCTGAGTCGGGTGCAACCACACCTCTCAAAACCTCCTTCTCTGCGAGGGTTTCCCCAGTTTTCACCTGTTTTACCCCCTACTGTGCTACTTAGTTTTGAAAAAGGCGAGATGGGGGTACCCGAGGCTGCAAAACGCCTCAGATTGGGTTGGAAGCAGGTGTGGGGGAAGAAGGGACTCCGGGGAGCGGGCGGTGCCTGCGTGTTTTCCCTCTTTTTCGGAGCTGCCCAGTTCACCGCGGCTCGCCTCACCTCCCCGTTGCCCACTAGGACAGGGGATACTGAGGGCTCTCCGCCCCTCTCTCAAGGGCTTCCCCACCCCTATATTGCAGAGTTGGATCGTTAGGGTCAAAAAATGACCAGAAAATGTCCTCAACTGATTCATATTCCAGGTGCCGACTTGGCCCTAAGACCAGATCCTTTTTTTGCAGTGGGTGAACGGGGTTATTCGGGGTGTGGGCGGCCTTTGGGGGGAAGACACAACTTGTGTAAACTTTTATTGTATTTTAGCTCCTTCCGACTTCTCCGAAAATACACGCACACCGCCTGCTCCGATTTCCCCTGTGATACAAAGTCGACTAAAAAGTTGGGGGTAGGGGACCTTCGCGGAGGACAGGCGGGCGACCAAAGCCTCAGGGAGCGCGGGAAGGACGGGAGGGAAAGGATTGATTCTTCCGTGGAAAACGGGGAGAGGGCTGGGAAAGGCTCGGACCGAGCCTCTTCGGGAAGGTGCGGACTTCGGCGATCGCTGGTGGCTGCAGTCTTCTCGACGAGTGCGCCCTCCGCGAATGCTTTTTGGGGTAAGGGCTTCCGGCTATTGAGTTATGTACAGCAAGCCCAGACCGCAAAAAGATTCGCGAAGGGCAGAGTCTGCTGGCTTCTTCAGTCCGCCGCCGCCGCCTTCAGCCCAGGATGTCTCCGAACCCCGGAGCCGAGCAGGCTGGGTCTCCCCAGCGCGCTCCAACGCGGCTCAGCCTTCCACCCCGAGCGCCGCCCGCCCCGTTCTCGTCCCTCCCGGAGCCCCCCGACCATCCCTCCATTTCTCCACACCGTCCGCGATCCCCCAACGCAGTCCGCACAGCCTCGAGCTAGGTGTGTGGAAAGCGAGAGGAGGAGCGCGGAGGGGGACCAGGGATCCCGGCGCCCAGCCTCCACCCCTCTCCCGTACCCAGCACCCCGAGCCTCCCCGCCTATCTGTCCTATCACACTCTTTCCCCTATCAGGGTTCCGCCAGCCCCGGCTGCAAGGTCGCGGATCTCTGAACAGCTACAGTTCGGATTCTCCCTGAACCCCCTCTTGTCCCTCCTAGTCCCCCAACAGAGGTTCCAGCCGTGACTACAGGCGCTGCGTAAAGAGAAAAACTCCCCCAGAGCACTAAATAAATACAGACGAGGCCGCCAGCTCATTGGTGCGGACTAAAATCGTCACCCACCAATCAGGAGAGAGCTCACATTTCCTTTTTTTTTTTCCCCCAGAAAGGGGAGGGAGGAAAAAATATTTCCATTTCTAATTATTTAACAAAACCCAGACTGGAACACGTTAAAATATTGTTGTTGCAAAAAATCCGGCCAAGCCCCCTGCCCCCATTCCAGCCCAGGTGAGGGGGAGGGCGTGAGATATTGGGCAAGGGGGAGGGGGGGTTCAAGAGAGCGACCTCTCCCAACACGACCGAAGCCAGAACATTCAGACGTAAAATGACAGGCCAAGATGAACATAAAATATACCCAAACTGCACGCTAGCAGCCTATTTCTAGCAAAATGAGGATGTCTCAATCCCACCCCCAAAAGTTCTGAATGCTCAATAGGAACGGTGAAGCTCCTCCCCCCGTAGCCTCCCCCAAACCCGTCTAGATGTTGTGTGTGGCCCACTTGCCCCGTGTGCCCTTTAATTGCTGCAGCCGCCCCCCCCCCCTCCCTACCCATTCTGCAGAATATTGAGGGGAAAAACAAGAGGCGAGCCCCTCACTGACCGCCGGCTCCCACAACGTCGGGAGATTCCAGCCTCTGCAGGAAGAAGCAGAGGGGAGGGGAAGGGAGACTAGGGTGGAAGGAGGAGGGAGATCTCTTTCCTATGTTATCCCTCCTTCCCTCTTCCCTCTCTCCCTTTAGGCCCCCTCCGCCATCCAATGTATCCAAACTTTGAGGGGTTGCCCTTCTTCCCAGTGCAGCGCCACCCTTCCCCTCTCCTGTCTTCCTCCCCTCACCCCTCCCCCTGCTCCACCGTCCGAGAAGGGTTTGAGCAAAGGAACGTTCGGACCACCTCCCTCCCTAACGGTACCCCCGGTGGGGAAAAATTCAGTCTAAGAAGGATGCTGCAAACATTGCAAGAACTTGGGCCGGGGGGGTGGGGGGTGGGGAAAGTTGCCATATTTGTTCTTTGCCACCCTGGAATCGACGTGCTGGCGGGCGCGGGCGCAGACGCACACTCTTGTTCAGCTTGCCCAGAGAAAACATATCTAGACTGTCTCCAAATCTCTGTCAGCCCATCCCCTCCGCGCACCCATCACCCTCCGGCAGCTCTATTACCCACCCACCCTCCCACGGCATCCCCTCAGCTCGGCGACCGACAGACGCACGCACACACCCTCCGAGCGTCGGCGCGTCCGCCGCGCCAGAGGGGGCTCCACAGTCCGCGACCGCCGCCGCTGCGGCGCGGGCCACTGGGGAAAAAAAGTTCTACTCAGCCGACCGTTGAGCCTACCGACCGCCGGCCGACCTGTGCACCAAGCCCCTTCTCCTTACCTGGGTCCCGAAGGCCCTGGAGCGCGCCGGTCCGGTCCACACTGCAGCCAGCTTGAAGGAGCCCTCTCCAACCCGCCCGCTCCCTCCCGCCCTTCCCCGCCCCCCACGGGTGTTGGCCCAGCGGCAAAGCAGGCTCTTCCAGGTAAGTATATAAGTTACTGTACTGTGTGGGAGGGTCACGATCTTGGTAATTGCGGCTTTCCGAGCTTAACCCCTGCGTTCCTGCCTTCCTCCAACTTGTTGAGGACTCGTCGGGTAGCGGGAGAGCGAGCGAGCGCGCCGGCCGGGAGGGGGCGGAGAGAGGTGCACCGGGCCGAGAGGGGAGGGCCAGACAGCGAGCGGCGGAGTTCAAAAGTCCCCCTGGCCGCGGTTTTCATTGGATAGGTCTTTTCCCCCCACCTCCGTCCCCAGTGGCTTGCCCCCCCGCCCCGCCGTCTCCCTTGTAGGGGACGTCTCCAGGCGAAGTCACGATTCCTTCTCAGTTCGGAATGAACTGTGACTAGAGCCATGACGCAGCCAGCGCGCATTACTCACTTTTTGCAGTCACGACTTGGGAATCCGTGCTGGTTCCAACCAAAATTACACCGCTACCATTGAATTATTTAATAGGATCCAGTTCGAGGGTAAACTTGTGCTTTGTGCCAAGCTATGAGGAGGGGGGACGGGGGGCAGTGAGGACAAGGGGCGTCCTCCCTTCCCCCTTAATGACCCTTGGACCCCCCTTCCCACCACTCCACGTGTTGCAAATGTGTTATTGCGCTGCCATCCCTCCAACACCCCGCCCCCCAGCTCTTGCCTTTGCAAATGTGGCAGAATTTGTAAACACAACCACGCAACTTGTGGGGCTGAGAGGGGCGAGGCTTGGGAAAGGGAATGAGTGGGTCCGGGTGAATGACGAGGAGGCCGAGGGGTGGACCGAGAGGCTGCGAGCAGCTTTGGTTTGAGCTGAATTGTCAAGACAAAGTGTGGGTTGCAGTTACTTGTGTTATTCTCCGCAACATCAGTAACAGTCCTTGTTACTATTATGAGTTGACGAATACTCAGTCTCAGCCAGGGAATCTACCCAAAGAGGGACTGCTTCTGAAGTAAAAATAACTCAATCCCCACCCCGCACCTCAGGACTGCGCCTCGGGTGCCCTGAGTGCGGGGTCAGGTCACTAAAGCCATAGGCTGTTAGCGGACTAGGATGGGGCAGAAGGAGCAGAGAGTACTGGGCTCTCCTCTTTCGCTTGAAGGCTACCCCCCGCAGATACTCACCTCACCGTCCTTTTTTTTTTTTTTAGTTACTATTACAGGTATATAGAAAATATCCCTGCATGTGCACAAGCTTACTGCAGCTCTACAAGACTGCCTCATTCCCCCCCCTCCCACTGTCTACAGCCCACACTTCTGGGCCAATTTGAGGGTGCATTTTTATTATTTCTCCCCGAGGAGTTAATCAGCATGAATGTCTTTGTGTGCGCGCGTGATGTTCATCCCCCCCTCTGGCCTCTGATAACCGTCCTCCCTCATCACCTGTCTGGCTACAGGTTTGGCCAAAGTATCAGGAGCTGACTGCAATGAGTCTCACTCTGGGTCAGACCCATAACCCCAGGGAGTTGATGGGTTCTCCAATAACATTTGGGAACTTGGAGAAGAACCCCTCCTCCCCAGTTTCCTTTAGAGCCGGTTTTCAGAAACCCTTTGGCTTGTGGCTTTACGGCGCCGTGCGATGTTCCCAAGCCTGGATTTTCTGCGCATCGCACCAGCAACTCCTGTGTTTTGGCTTCTAATTCATTCGTTCCACCAACTCATTTGGGGCTCCTATGACTAGGACGCGAAGGAGGGGGAATAGTAAGAAAAATGCCATAACGCACAGACACATCCTTACACACCTCCCGGGAACTGCAGAATGTGGGAACGTGGGGGCATGAAGTGGCAGCTACGAGGGTCCCTGAGTGCGGGGCATGAAGTGGCAGCTACGAGGGTCCGAATACAGCAACCTATAGCCTCTTATTTTGAAAGTAACCATCACTGGAGAGAAATCTTTCAAACCCACTGGCGGGAAGGTGCGGGCGCCTGGGAATGGAGACCCAGATAGTGCCTGGCCTCTGCGGAGAAAGCCGGTGAACCACCGGCTTGCGGTTCCTGGAGCGCTGGGCCTTGGCTCATCCTCGAATCTAACACTTTGCTCCCCCTCCTTTAATTTTTTTTTCCTTTCCTTCCCACTCACCCCTCCTTTTCCCCCAAAGCTCTCGCCGAAGTCACGACTATCCCCTTTGAACATCCTTAACCCTCTCCTCTCCGTATCCCTCTTCTGCATTCAGGGCGGGGCTGTCCGCAGCTGGCGCCAACCCCGCCCCCTGGCGCTCGGAGCTGAACTCGCCGAGGACCTAGGAATTTTTCAGCACCTGCCTTCCATGGACAGCTACCGCACCCTGGGCCAGCCGGGATCAGCCAGGGTCGCGGTCCTTGGGCTCCCGGACCGGAGCGAGCAGGGAAGTTTGTCAAAGGAATAGGGATTTTTCCTTCTCTTTATCTCCCAGCCCCATCCATGCAATTTTAATCTATATCGTATCGTCTCCATTAATCTCGCAGAGAGATGGCCCATTAAGTCGTATCTGGACACCCTTTAAGACAGAGAAAATGGGGAGGGGAGGGGGGCAGTCGAGAGAACTGGGCTCAACAGCGCCGACCCATAAAGAGAGAGAGAGTTGCAGCTATTGATTCAGAGATTGGTCGGGGTGATTCCCGGCTCAGCAAGAATTTCCCCTTTCAGTTCCTTTTCATGCAGCCCAAAATTCATTATGCACAAACACAGCTATACCCCTCACCCCCTACTCAGTCCCACCCTTCTCTTTAGAAAGGGGTGAAAGGCAGCCAGAAAAGAACCCCAGAGCAAGCACAAAGTCAGCCTCAGCTAATACTCACGGTCTGCGGCATGCACATGACATAATATTACTTACCCAAACGGGAACTCCTTAAGAGAGAGAAAGAGAAACATAGGGGGAGGGAAGAGAAAGTGGAGAGAGAGAGGGAGACAGGAGAGAGGAGAGGAAAAATCCAACAATTAATTTCCAGACATAGTTGGGGGCGGGGGGGGGAATGCGGTGATGTCCAGGTTTTCTTCCACCCGCGCTGGCTTTTTATCCCAGTGCAGCCCTCGGTCTATTTCTGGAACACGATCAAACACTAATGCTATTTTTAGCAAGTACTGAAAAAACCTCCACACACAAAGGCATTTCGCTGGAACGTTACGTCCAAAACATTAAATGTGCATTAAGCGCCCCCTCCCCTCCTCAGCACACTCACTTGCATTACTGCAGATGATGTTTTTCAAAGCAGAAAAATACTCAAATATTGCTTATATTCTCCCTCCCTCCCATTAACTCCCATCTGCCTCTGCCTGTTGCAAGCTCCTCGCTGTCTCCCTGAGCAGAAGGCTTTGGAGTGGATGTATTCTTTTAGAGCTGCATGTCTCCATTGACCAGATTCCCTACATGCTGGGGAAAAGGGGGGGAGGTGCTTAGGCCCCTTCCCCAGAGGAGCGTCCCAAGAAAGCTCTAGGGTCTAACGCTGTCCACGCTGGAGATTCCCAAATGAGGAAGGAAAATAAAAATTCCTCCATACCCTTCCCACATTTCCCACCCATGCTTTGCAAAATCGCGCTGTGTTTGCAACACACCGCCTTTGGAAATGTATATTTTGAAGGCTGCGTGTGTGTGTGTGTGTGTGTGTGTGTGTGTGTTTGTGTGTGTGTATGTATGTATGTATGTGTGTTGCGTTCTAGTAATTCACTACGAAGGGGTTGGAGAAAATAGACTCATGAAGGCAGCGCGGAGCAGCCGCCTTGAGTCTCCTTTGCCAGTCTGCGTCAGTCATCAGCTACTGACGTCACGTGCAGATTCTCCTCTTTGGTGGGTCTGGTTCAGCCGAGAAGAGGCTTCTGCTCGGAGACAGCGCTTTGTGTTCGGCGCAGCCACTGAGCAAGCGAGGCGGGCGCCACCAGAGGCTTGGGCTGGGCAGCTGCAGAGGAGGCTGCAGCCTGGTGTGCACCAGGCGTGCGGGGCCCCGAGGGTTTGCCCAGCAGGACAGCCCCCTCCCCAAACGCCCGGCGCAAACTCGGCTCGGCACAGACGCGGAGCGAGCGTCCTTTCCCCGCCCTTTCGCAGCTGGCCGCTGTAGCGGAGACAGCTATGGCTATAACTCGGATTAATTCTGTGTTTGTCGGTCAGATAGCCCCGGCTCCTCGAGTGACGCAAGTAACAGATTCTAAGGCTCCCGCTCTCTCTCCTGCTCCCTTTTTCTCCCTCCCTCCTTCTTTTCCCTCTTCTGTTTCCTGCGCCCACGCATCCTGCTCGGTCGCCCACGGAATCAGACAGCTACAGCTTCCCAGAGAGCAACCATCCAAGTTACAGACAGACAGACTCCCAGAGCAGGAAAAAATAAACGTGCAATTAAACACACACATACACACAGCCTTTTGCAAATGGCCAGCAGCGTTTAGGGGCTCCCCTGTGTGGGGGAGGGGAAAGCTGATTCACAAATCCACCGGCCTCCAGTCAGTGCCTCAGGCAGGGCGCGGGGAGCGGAGAGCGGACGGAGAGACGACGGACAGGGAGGGCTTGCTGCTGCAGCTTTGCCCTCGCGCCACCACCCGGAAAGGAAACCCACCTCTATAAATGCCCAGATGGCAGGGTATTAGCGAATAAACAACTTTTGTTGAAAGGTAGAAGGAGAAAATTGAACAAAGACTGCAAAGGCTTAGTCTCTAGCGACATTATCAGGACTTTTTAAGACTAGGTGACACTTTACCCTTTCTACCTCTCACAGACCAGGGGATCTTCTATTTTTCTTCTTAAAATAATGCCCCTGAAAAATGAGCTGAATGGATTAGTGCTATTTTAAAACCAGTTTGAAAGGAGCTTGTTTCATGAGAGTGACGAAGTGTGTGTGTGTGTGTGTGTGTCTGTCTGTCTCAGTGTGTGTTGTATCTGAATCTGAGATTTTCAGCAGAAGACATGCCACATCTCAGCATGACAGAGGGTTTATTGATTGGGGATGTGATGGAGGTGGGAAGAATTCTTGCAGATTGGAAGGTTTGAACAAAATCACATACACAGATCGCCCTCCCCAAACATACATAGCATCCCAGATCCACCTCACATAACTTCTGCCTCGAGAAGTGGGAAAACCAGAAAGCAGAGAGCTATTTACATCGTGCCCTCATGCCCGGTCCATCTCCTTTATCAACGTTCCCTGTCAATGATTTTCCTTATGCCAATAAACAATTTTCCAGAGGTTACCGCTAGGATTTGGGGCACAAGGCCTGGGAGAGAGTGGTCATGGGGCTGACCTTTAATCAGTGTGATCTTAGAG